TATTAATTAATATATGTCCACATTAAATACTAATCTAAATGTAAAATTTAAATCTTATATGTTGAAGGTTATGTTTCATCATTTTTTAATGGAAAGCACTCTATGCTGCTGGTGAGCAGCGTTTGTTATGGCGTCATCAAAGGCTAATGCTAACGCTACGGCTAATGCGTCCCAACAAGACATCGAACTTACAGTCTGTGTCCGAGCTGCACTTCAAACTGCCGGTTTGGACCACAGGCACCAGCCATGTAGTTTTCAATTAACTTATTTTTAATTTAAATTTTAAAAGCCATCTTTCGGCAGCGTTAGCATCGTTAGCAGCATTAGCGTTAGCTTTTGTTGCTGGAAGATGACGTCACTACAAAACCCGGGCACCAACAGCAAAGACAATGTTCCGTTCAACAATTCTTAAACTTTATTATTTAGCTGCAACATTTAAGATTTGATTTTCATGTTTAGATTCAAGATTTAATGTTTACAATTATTAACATTTAGTAAAAAGTAGCAAAACATAAGATCAGTGAGCTAAATATTGAAGATGTTTTAGTGACATTTTTTACTTTTTATTTTTCACTTGGTGCCTCATAGTTCTGTTGTGTTAATGGGATGACTCTCAGCTACTACCAGGATACATTTAGCTCCATGAAAGAGTTTTGGGGTCACCTTGCATGGCTGGACAGACATGGGTTTGATGTCCTGTAGACTTTTTTTGCGAGATCTCTTGACCAGACGGAGCTTCTTCTCATCAACGTAGGACACACACAGGACGCACTGCGGCACACGACACTCGTTAGAACAATCACTGCAACAACAACGGTTCGACTACAAACGACATCAGACCGTTTATCACCTGCTGCTGGTCCTGGACCGACTCCACTTTCCTCTCAGAGTAGTTCTGTCCGACCTCTGCAGCGTAACAGCTGGTTTCAATCAGCCAATCCAGGAACACTGTAGTCTGCAGATAAATACAATTTTAACAATTTCACACCAATAAATCAAATTCTGACTTTACTTTAACCTCAAACATTTACTTTTTGTATCCAGACAAACTGAAAAAAATCTGAAGAAAATGTAATTTATATATCAGAACATTCAGTTCCTTCAGGACATTCTTCTGGCCGACTTTTGTTACTTCAGTCATTTATATGTTTATTTTTTTTAGATATTTAGCTTTTTCTGCCTTTTTTTAATGAATGGAGCAGTCTGCAACATCTTTTAAAATGTTTAGAGATCTTTAATGCACTTTGCACTTTTTGTTCTGGTTCTGCAGTTTTTTTATTTCAGTATGTTAATTACAGCTTCATTTAGCTTCTTTTTGGCTAATTTTAGCTGTTTTTTGGATTTTTCAGCTGTTTTTCAGCTTTTTAAGCTAAAATCAGTTTTGATGTGCTTCTTTTATCTCTTACTGTTAATTTAAACTTTTTATGTTTATTTCAGCGTCATTCTGCTGTTTTTATTTTTTTGCCTTTTCAGCGACTCTTTAGCTGTTTTTTTGCTAAATTGCGCATCATTCAACTAAATCCATGTTTTGGTGGTCTTTTACACTTTTTTTGGCCTTTTTCAGCAAATGTATGCTCCTTCAGTTTATTTCTGCTAATGTCAACATTTTAGCTACTTTTCAGCTATTTTCAGCTAAATTTACTTTTATTGTGACCTTTTTAGCTTCTTACAGCTTAATTCACTTCAGATTCTTTCTGTTAATTTAAGCTTTTTAAGCTTTTTGTGATAATTTTAGCTTCTTACTGCTTAATTTAGCAAACGTGCTCTTTCAATGATGACCCACATTAATTTCAAGGTCACAAAATAAAAGGTGAAGGTCATGTTTTTTCTTTCATCTACATTTTTAATCTTTTTAATATTTGGTTTGTAAATTTTAGCTTTTTAATGCCACTTTTTTGCAAATATTTACTATTTTTCTGCTAACTTTTGCTATATTACTGCTCTTTTCAGCCTTTTTTTACACATTTATGCTATTTTTCTACAGATTTCCTGTTTTGCCTTACTATATTAGCAAAAGTCAACTGTTTATTGTTTGTTTGTTTGTTTTGGCTAATAAATACTTTCAGCTTGGCTTCAGCGGCTTTCAGCAAAAATATTTCAGCATTCACACTGCATTTTTGCGGGGAATGCAAATTCTCTAGTTTATTTTTTTTATTTTGTTGTTGCTTTTGTTTTTCTTGCAGCTGTTTGTTCTTAGACAACTAAACTACTTTACTATTTTTGTGCATTCAGCTCCAGTTTTAACTAAAGACACCAGCAGCCAGATTAAGCTTCTCTGTGCTCAAACTGCTGTAGTTTGTCTGCAGATGAAAGGGACATTAAAGCCTGGATTTCCACACTGAGTGCTGCTTTGTGTTCCACACAGAGGGAGGATGACTGCATGAATGGACACTGCTTTACGTGGGCACTCACCAGAGCGTAGTACGACAGCGTTGAGCCGACGTAGATGATGAGCTGAATGAAGCTGAACTTTCCTGCCTGTAAAACAAAATCAAACTGTTTCTACCTTCAGAAGAAAACAACCAGTCCGGCACGATGAAACGAAACCCGAAGCTCTCACCTGTCCGAACACCATGACGTCAAACCTGATCCCAAAGGCTTTGTACAGCGTGCGCTCCTCCACTCCGTTCACCGAGCTGTACTTTGCGAACCTGATCAGAAAACAGCAGACGTGACTCTTCTTCAGGGGTTTCTCGTTGTTTCATGCTCTCTGCAGCTCCTGACACAAAGCTGACCGTCGTCACCTGAAGTTGAGGCCGGGGTGCAACGTCTTGTTGCTCTCCCTCTCATCCAGACGCCTGAAGGAGTACCTGGGGAGGCAGCGCTGCATGAGCGGGTCCAGGTTGCAGTCCCATTTGATCTGTATGCCGATGACACCCCCCTGTGTTCAACAGTGGAAACACAAAACTGGACTGACCATAGTTTCACAGAAAAAAAACGAATAAATCTGTGTTTACTGGATTTATCTACTGTGATTTACGACTGTTTGTTTTATCTTTCTAAAATAAAAAAGGGAAGGAAACTATTCCCTACAACAAGCCACAGATTGTAGCTGCACAAAAAAAATACAACTTGCATTTCAAACAGTCATCCTGTGAAAACAAAACACTGAATCTGACATTTATCAACTAAAGAAAGTTTCCTCCTTTTTCAGAAGGACAGTTTCATTTCCTCGTTGAGTCATTTGTTGTCAGCAAAATACGTAAGAGGATTAGGACTACTGTCAGAATTCCAAGATAAAAGTCAGAATTTTGACTTTTTCCTAATTCTGAGAAATAAATTCAAACTCCTGACTCACAGTTCTGAAAAATTTTTGATTTTAATCTCAGAATTCTGAGAATAATTCTGAGATTGAAGTCAGAATTTATTTTTTTCCCGTGGCCCTACTTTTCTTGCGTAACAAAAGCCTCAATAAGAAACACGAAGAAGAGAAAGTAGTTTTCTGCATCCAGACGTTCAAAAGAAATTCTCTCATCCCACCTCCACTGCCAGGTCTGCAAACGTCTCCCCGGCCTCTCGAACCATGTCTCCGAGTCTGAAGATGGGACACAGCGAGTCGTTTCCTCGGCTGCAGCTCCTCAGGTAGGAGCCGTCCATCTGTGGGAGGATGTTCCGTCTGGAAAACAAATCAAAGTCGTCGTTTAAATCAAATACGCTGCACGCCCTGTTTTATCTGTTCTTCTCATTTGGCAGTAAAAGGAAACGGGGG